TTTAAGTTTAAAGTTTAAAACATTACAAAGTTTTTTTAGGTTTTATTTTTTCAAAATTTGTAAACAATTTTTAATTTATTGCTTAATACTTTTTAAAATAGAATTAATAATTTTCAGTTAATTTAATTATATCTTTGATTACATAATTATTTTTTATTAATTATCAATTAATTAAATTTTTTGAGAAAAAAATATAAATTTAAATTTTCTATTTGCAATGAAATATTTATAGAAAATACAAAAAAATATTTAGCAAAAATAATTTTTTTGTAATTTTAAAGGTTATAAAATATCATCGAACATTGACTTTATCAAAAAATATTTATTTCTAAAATTTTAAAATTTATATTTTAAAATTTTTACTTAAAAATCTTATTTCTTTTACTATCAATTCACAAAAAAATGATCTTACTCGTTATATACATTTTGTCAATAAGAAAATCCATTCGTCAATAATATCTTTTATTAATATTATTATTTTAAAACAACGATTGCATTAAAAGTTAGACGCGCGCTTGCACGCGTGCAATTATGCTAGTTTTTTTATTAATTACATTTTTAAATTATTATTATTTATTTAATTATTGTTGTCTGTTTGATTGTTTATTTATTATTCTTTAAAAAATGGATTCTTTTCATTGGTACGCATTCATAATGTTAATTTTCTTTTTTGATTATTATTTCGGTTATTTAAATTAATAACACAGGCCAACAGTGAGTTTGGTGCGGCAAATGTCAGACCTGTTTTTGATATGTTTTTTCATGCTGAACACAAATCCGTAAAGGAAAAGTTTCTATCAGCTCTAGTTTTTGAGAAAAACGGGTTTAAAATGTTCAAAAATCGCGTTTTTGGCTAACTTTGAGTACCTCTAGCACTGAAATAAAAGGTCGTAGAACCTTCCACTTGGGCTTAAATTGAGGCTTAATGTTTCAACTATTATCCCCAAAAATGACCTATGTTGCACCATAATCTTAAAGTCATTTGTTATCATTTTTGATTCGCAAATATTAATTTTGTAAAATTTTGAGCGCGTACCTCTAGCTCAAACTTTTACAAAATTAATATTTGCGAATCAAAAATGGGTAACAAATGACTTTGAGGTTATGGTGCAAAATAGGTCATTTTTGGGGATAATAGTTAAAACATTAAGCTTCAAATAAAGCCCAAGTGGAAGGTTCTACGACCTTTTATTTCAGTGTTAGAGGTACTCAGAGTTAGCCAAAAACGCGATTTTTGAACATTTTAAACCCCTTTTTCTCAAAAACTAGAGCTGATAGGAAATTTTCGTTCACGGATTCGTGTTCGTATTTTTAAGGATCAGAAAAAAATTTTAAATTATTTTAATGATTTTTATTTATGTGAGTGTGTTTGTAAGACCTCATTTTCTAGATACAAGCGATTAAAAACATTTTTAATAAAAAACTAGAATTAATAACTTTTCTTTTATATAGGTGACGATTTTGGATAATTAAATTAACAGTGAATTTTGATTTTTTTTGGAAAGTTGAAAATGTATATTTTCACTAAAATAAATATTCATATGTCCTTTTATGTTATTTTCGAGATATCGATTAATAAATTATTTAATGTTAATAAAAAATGCAATATTGTATAAACAAATAATTTTTTTTAAAAGGTGTTATTATTGTTGATCAGAGTCCAATTATCGTCATAGGTGTTGATTTTGTTTTTATATACTGATCTTTATTAAAAAAATAATGTTTCATTGAGAAATTTCTCAAGGATTACATAAATAATCAATCTCTAGCTTTCGCCTCTCTAATTGTAAGAAAGGCCTTTTCAAGATGAAAGTTTTAAGAACATGTGAGCATTTTACACTTTGTTCCTTTCGGAAACTTGTAGGCATATCAAATTTATATTTTTTCATAAAGCAAAAGTTCAAAAATCGTATTTTGTATTTTAACATTACTGTTGTAGGATAGAGAACTTGGTATTTGTCAAAAACAATTGTTTTTGTGTGAACACACTTCTCCAAGTCTCTTCCTGACATGTGTAAATAGGTAACAGGTATCAAAATCAACACCTATGACGATAAACAAATAATGTTATCAAAATTCTGACGTTGCCAATTGAAAGCTGACGTAATTCTGCATCCAACGAGCCTAATATAAACTATTTTGAATTAGAGAAATTTCCATAAACAATTGCAATGTATAAAATATTTCATTTTTGTTAACATTAAATAATTAATTAATTAATATCTCAAAAATAATAAACAATGACATCTCAATATTTTTTGTAGTAAAATTACACATTTTTAACTTTCCGAAAAAATCAATATTCTCTGTTTAAATTTTTCAAAAAATCCAACCCCTTCCCTCTCCTACAGTTTTTGAAAAAACCTAACAATACTTCGTGGTTGAATTTCGCCCCATATATATAAATTTATTAACACGATTTATTTTTTATCTAATTAAAATATCCAAAATCGTCACCCATATAAAAAAAAAAGTTACGAATTAGAGTTCTTTTTAATTAAAAATTTTTTTAATCACTTGTACCCAGAAAATAAGTTCCTACAAAAACATTTACTCAAATAAAAATTATTAAAATAATTTAAAACTATTTTCTGATACTTAAAAAACAAGTTTTTTTTGAAAAAATTTTAAATCACCCCTAGAAAGGGAGAAATCATTTCTAAATAATGAACAGCTACGATTTTCGAGTTAAGTTTTCTCGTTTCAGGTGGTGCTAAAGAACCATCGGGTAACAATGATTTTTCTTTAATTTCTCTCACTAGTGGGAGAAATAGGTGAAACAAAGTTACATATGCTATAGAAAGGACCAGTCCATAAACTATGTAGCCAGTTTAGGGAGAGGGGGTTCAGTGAAATTTAAGGTAAACTACGTGGGGGAGGTGTTCGAGCCATGACTACGTGATTGTAGGACAGAAGTTCCAATTCAAAAGTTCCAATTCAAAAGTTCCAATTCAAATGTTCCAATTTAAAAGTTCCAATAAAAAAAAATTCCAACAGACAAAACTTCCAATAGACAAAAGTTCCAATAGACAAAAGTTCCAATAAAAAAAAGTTCCAATGAGAAAAGATTCAAATAGACAAAAATTCCAATTTAATAAAAATCCATTGTAAAAACGATAAAAGGGTGATATGAAATTAATAACTGATTACAATATAATGTTATGGCCTACAAGTCTAAGATATTTTAAAACATCTTCACTTTCCGTGTGTTCTTGATATTTTACCACTACGTTATACAATCTGTCTTCCACCTTCTGGCGACTAGATGGTCGGACTTTTTTTACTTTTTGGCCAAGATTTAATTGTGCAATCATAACCTCAGTCTCGCCTTGTTCTTTTATCATTTCCAATAAGAAATTGTATAAACTTGGGTGATTTCTGCCAACAACGATTTGAAAGCGGTTATGCCACCCTGAAAGAATTCATATTTTGCATATATTAGCGTACATTTATATCAATGATACAGAACGTATACCTTCTGATAAATTGTTGGTTCGATGACGCTTTTGAATGACAGATTCGTACTGATTCCACAGTTTAGGCGGATATCTTGGCAAAGTAGCTCGGCGACGTCCTCTGGCTGGTAAACCCTTAATATACCCTTAATTAAAAATATAGTTTTAGAACATTTTGTGTTTGGAACAATAAAGTCTTGGAACATTTTGAGTTTGGAACAATAAAGTCTTGGAACATTTTGTGTTTGGAACAATAAAGTCTTGGAACATTTAGTGTTTGGAAAAAAGAACTTTTGGAACTTTTAAATTGGAACTTCTGTCCCTCTGTAGTTATATTTATTAAGTTATTTATTTTGATATTTTTTAAATTGCGCGGGTAATTCCAATGTCGAATTGAGCGATAATCGAATCTAGTGACAGATCCTGTGGACATTCCAGAACCCGTGATAGAATGGATTGAGGAAAACGACGTAGAAGTAGATGTGCCTGAAGTACCTGAAACTGAGTCAGAGGAAAATGTTTTTCCTGTTATAACCAATTTAAATGATTGGTTACTCTCGCCATTTGAATCTGAATATCTTTAGAATCTTTAAAAAAATTATATTTTTTAATTTAAAGTTTAAATGTTAAAGTTAAAATAACATTAAGAATTTTTGTTGACACTTGATTGTTGCTATATGCTAAAGTAATAAGAAAATTAATGATTATGTTTTTTGGGTCGCTGATTTGGACTCTGGCGTCAGTTTTAAAAAATTCAAAATGGCGGATCTAATATGGCTGATGAGAAATATAAATTTATTAGGTTCGACTGAAATTTGGTACTTGGGGTTTTTATAATCGTATTTAATAGTATTTAACCCAGGCATTTTGCCAGAACTGTTCTTGAAATATACAAGTATGTCCATACATTCTTCATCAGGAAGACTGGATATAAGTCCGTTGTCTATCGTCACCACGTGGAGGTACCCTGGTTACAGAAGGAATGTTATAGATATATTTTAAATGGTCAAATATGTATATAAGATTAGTCATTTTTTCGAGTCATATAATACATGGTAGATTGTCTGTGTGACTATACTATAATGCAATGTAAGATTAGTACAGTGTTGCAAGACTTCCATTTCTAGAATGCGGTGTCGCTAGCTTCAAAATGCGGATTTTATAATGAAAATGCGGTATCAAGCGCGCTAAAATTTGAAATTCAAAACACTATAAGAAAATGTACATTGGGTGTTTTCGGCAAATCCTGCGATTTACTGCTAGCAGTACTCAGTGGTGCTCAAATGCTAAAAGTGATATTTTTTTTGTCGTTTAACGCAATTGGCTATATTTTAATATCCATCCATGCAATTGGTGCCAAAATTGCAAATTGTGATAAAATGTGAAATGTGCTGTAAATTTTGTAAAAACATAACCTAATTTTCACGTTTTCCCCAAAATTTCCCCAAAACTTTGTTAGTGAAAAATCTCTAGACTGTCTCGCAGTAGCTTCTTGGTTCGGTTAAGTTGCAAAAAAGCAGTAAAAATAAAAATAATATAACAAAAATGGCAGCAGGTATGTATTTAATATTATGTATTTATTTTAAGGTTATTTTCACATGAAATCTGTAACGTATTTTTAAACTTCTCTGAGAAGGTTTATTACTTTTCATTGCTAGATTTTTTAAAGAGACGCTTTTGTAATTACTCTAAACAATTAAGCGAGTGTGTTTTAAAATTTTTTTATTTTTTCCAAGAAGTGCAATTTAAAAAATGTTTCAATTGCTTTTTTTCAAAAATTCAATTTTTTTCACAATTTTTATCATTTTTTTTGCTAAATTTTTTATTTGCTTTTGCTTCTAATGTTTTCAAACATAAAATTTCTAGCATGACCAAAAACAATTTTTTGAAATTTTAATACTTTGCATTAAATTTAGATTCTAAATAATACCTGAAAAATGGATAGAAAATTATCTAATTGGATGAAATTAGGTATTTTTATTGGTGCAAAAATTTAATGTACAAGATTGAAAAAATATTTTAATTATATACATTTTTTATAAATGTTTTGAACATTTGTGGATTGCAATTAACATTAAAAAATTTAGTTTACTATCCGTTACATCATTCTTAACATAGAATTTTTTAAGTAAATCTAATGTTTTATTTTACTTAAAACATTTTGACTGCATCATATTTGATTATTATTTATTATCATTTTTATGTAATAGTTCCTCTAGGGGAAGAAGAAGCAGCAGCTGCGATTGCGACTATTGCCGCTGTCAACATGCTCATCGATGATGAGGACGAGGAAGAAGAACAAGAAATTTTACGACGCTTATTAGCTGGCGTAAGGGAAGTAATTCCAAAGACAGAAAATTTTTTCGAAGAGATTGCAATAATTGAAGAAGATTTGGAAAGGCCTTATTCGAATATCTCTGCAAGGAAAAAATTATCCGTCGCTCTTTGGTATTTCGGTAATCAGGATGTATACCGGTATGTTGCTATAGGCATATGTAAAATTAGAACTATGCAAATCTTGAATCCAACTATAATTAATCAACTAGCAATTTTTTAATATTATCCTCTTAAGTTCCCTTTAGATTCAATCAGGGCTGCAATGATTTAAATCCACTTGATTTAAATCATGATTTAAATCATTGTTTAAATCAGGTCATTAAAATCATGATTTTAATCAAATTAATTATTATTCATATTAAAAATGCATATCTCTTCGAATTTGAATTGAAATTCTCGGTTCCTTTCTGGAAATTGTTTTTGTATTTATCGATCAAATTTTTATTTAATTATCTCTGCAAACTGTTAAGAAACTATATTATTCCTTTCTTTTTAATTTTATAAATGATTTTAATAAGAACTTTATCGTGTTTTCAAAATAATCAAGTTTTTCAAGTCAGTTCGAAGAAAAATTTTTTTTAAATATAAATTAAATAAAATAAATAATCTTAGCTATGATTTTTAACTAATTCATATTTAGAGAGTGAGAATCGAAAACGTTTCAGAGTTGTAATATTTTTTTGATTCAATTAATTAAAAATATTTTACAATGGTTTCCACTTTTTCTATGAAAATCTAATTGTTTGTACTGTAAAATTTACCTTTTACAGTGTTTAATAAACGACTAAATACTTTGAAATAAATACAATTTCAAAAATATTTATTCTGCCGATTAAAAATTTGAAGTTCTATATATTTATAATTAATGCATTCGGCATTTAATTTCATATATAGTCGGATTTTTATTTGAATTTTTTTCTAGGTCTATATGTGACAGATTCGGCATTTCAAAATCTACTGGTTGGGAATGTGTCATGGAGGTCGCCAGAGCACTTTCTGCACGTGCACCTAATTTTATTGCATGGCCAACTGCTGAGGAGATTCCTACAATTGCACGAGACTTTGAGGCAATTGCCGGTTTTCCGGGAGTCATTGGACTAATTGATGGCTCCCATGTTAGAATCAACGCGCCTCACGAATTTCCGGACAGCTACATAAACAGATACGGGTTCCACTCGATCAACGTTCAGGGAATATGCGATTCACAAATGCGTTTCATTGACATTTACTCAACTTGCCCGGGTAGCGTCAATGGTACAAGAGTGTATCAGCTAAGTCCGATCAGAGAAGAAATAGACCAAAACTACGAACGTTATTTCCCTGATCAAACGCACCTTCTTGGCGATAAAATATATTATCCCGTTCAATTCAACTTGTTGCCTCCATACAAGGACAACGGTCACTTGACGGAGCAAGAGAGACATTTCAACATAATTCACTCTCGAACGCGACAAATGATCGAAAGGTCGTTTGCGCTTTCGAAGAATCGCTTTAGACGTTTGAAATGTTTGTATGTGCAAAACATCGAATATGCATCATTAATAATTCTGGCATGTTGTATATTGCATAATATATGCATTTCCCTCAATGACGATTTAGATGAGGTCGATGCCGAAAACCAGGCTGACGGAAACGTAAATGATGAACCAGAAGAGCCAGGCAATGAACAGTTTAACGCTGTAATTAAGCGCCGAATTATTGCGGAGGAGTTGTTTCATCGCAGAAGGCAATAACAACATCATGATAATCATGGAAAATTCGACATTTCTAATTGTAAGTACAAAAAAAAGAAAATTTAATGATTATTAAAAGATGCTTTTGTATTATTTTTCTAATTAAAAATCTTTCCGATTGTTAAAATATTCTTATACATTTAATTTAGTTTTGATTTCCCTGAAAGGTTTTTAAAAAAAAAATTCACGATTTAATTAATCGAAAACAGCAAAATAATGACAAATTAAAAAATTAACGATTTCAATTTGACTAAAAGAAAATGATTAAGAAGCATATTAATGATTATATGAAAAAAAATGTGTCTAGGTGTCCCGATGGGAAAACGTGGGGAAGTGTGGCACTTTTTGACAGAGCAATTTTGCCGCCGATTGACACGAGACTTTCCACATTACGACATTTCATTTATTTTTTTAATTACAAATGTAATTATTGCATATGACAATTATCGTATAAAATTTTATAATAAACGTAACTTTCTTTTAATCGATATGTATACACGCAGTTTTATTACCTATTAATTGGCAGTGAGTTTTACAAAAATAAACTTAATTCTTTCTTTTTGGCACATATTTTGTACATGCGTACTTACACAGTAATTAACAGATAATAACAAGGTTAAATATAACTTTTCTCTGGTACTTACATATGTATACATATTTGTACATATCTTCAAACGTAATTGCGAAGATTCTACATTGACTTATAATTAAAATTTCCAGAAATCACAAAACGATAAATAATTTTGAAAAACTGAGAAAATAAAAAAAAAAATTTTAATTATTAAACATAAGCGAAAATTGAGAGACTTTCATATCATAATACCGGTAGTCTTTTTAATAAAACTTTCAGATATCACAAAGTTCTGGAAAACTAAGAAATTAAAAAAAACACATTTTCTTAAATTATTAAACCTACGCGAAAATTAAGAGACTTTCATATCATAATACTGGTAGTCTTTTCAATAAAACTTTCAGATATCACAAATTTCTGAAAAACTAAGAAATTAAAAAAAACACATTTTCTTAAATTATTAAACATACGCGAAAATTAAGAGACTTTCATATCACAATACTGGTAGTCTTTTCAATAAAACTTTCAGATATCACAAAGTTCTGAAAAACTAAGAAATTAAAGAAACACACATTCTTAAATTATTAAACATAAGCGAAAATTTAGAGACTTTCATGCAATACTGGTAGTCTTTTCAATAAAATTTTCAAAAATCACAAAGTTCTGAAAATCTAAGAAATCGAAAAAAAACACATTCTTAAATTATTAAACGTAAGCAAAAATTTAGAGACTTTCATATCATAATACGGGTAGTCATTTCAATAAACGGCATCAAGATTTTAATTTTTTCTTTGCTTGATAGCCCCTGCCAAACTGTTCACAGCATCTGTCATTTTATCAATTTTTTCCATTTTTGCTGAAAATTTTTTTGCCGCAGTGTCATTCATTTTTTCTAAAAGTTCCAATTGAGTCAAATTTTTCTTAACTACTTTGCGTTTCTTTAAAAAATTTTCCTCCGTATCACCTTCAATCATTGTCGAAGAAATTCTTTTTTGATAGCCTCTAATACTCGATGCCATCGCTGGTGGGTTGATGGTAGGTCGTCGATATAAAATTGAATTCATCTCATTGAAGTGTTTAAAGCTGTTGTCGGGACTTGATCCTGTTTTTTTTAATATTTTCCAATGTTTTTTTATACCTTCTGCACAAAGCATCCCACTTGGACTTACATTTCTCTTGAGGTACATTGTGACCTAGATCATTTAGCAGACTGCTAACTCTTTTCCACAATTTTGCACCTTTTAAAGACGAATTTTTTTCCACATCGGCGTATGTCACAATTAAGGCTTTTGTCATCTTAATTGTCCAAACAATAATTGCTTTTTCTAAAAAAATAAGAAAAACATTTTTTATTTTTAAATATGAATAAATGATAAAATAAATAATAGTAAAATAAATAAAATAAAAATAATAATAAAAAAATAAAATGAATGACAAAAAAAATAAATGAATAAAATAAAAGAATAAATAAAAAAAATTATAAAAAATAAATATGAATAATTTTAATAAACTATGAATATTTAAATTAACTAAAATAATCAATATGATTGAATGAATCAATGAATTAAACGTACTTCGATTTTTGTTTTCTGCTTCCTCCTCTTTTTCATCATCATCCTCGTCATCATCATCGTCTTCTTCATGTGTTTCTGTTAATTGATTTTTTGTTTTTACACTAGGTTTTATTTTAACTCCAGGTTCTGGTTGGACGACATCATCCCCATAGTACTTTTCGAAATTTTGTTCATTGTCGTCTTGAAAATTGTCCGCACAATAGTCGTCTTCAAAGTTCTGATCATTTTCTCCTGAAGCAGATGCTTGAGACTCGGTGACATCGTGAATTTCTACGACTGAAGCAGGCGACATGTAGTGCATTGACTCTATTCCTTAAATAAAAAATATGAACATCAGAATCTTATCGAATAAAATTTCAAATAGTTCAACTTCTAATTGATTAAATTTTTGAATTAATAAATTTTTCATTGATTTGACTTCGAAATAATTGAATTTAGAATACATAGAAATTAAATTAATTATAAATATTTGGAGTTTTGAAAAATTTAATTTCTTACTTGATTGAAATTACATTGAATTTATAGTAAATTGAAGATTTTTTTATGGATTACAATAAGTGGAAGAATTAAATTTTCACGAGGGGCTGGATGCTATAAGGAGATATGCGCCATGCTAAGTAAATGGCGCGTATCCCCTTATAGCATACAGCCCCTAAATTGATTAAAATTTTGATACAGATCAAAATTTAAAAATGTAAACAAGGTGAAAAATTAAAAAAATTAATGAAATAAGGAATATTTTAACAATAGGTGACGAAAAATAAAAAAGAATATATATACAATTAATAGTACAATTATTTATACTTACCATCGGCTCTTAAAACTTCGCAAAGTAAAAACTGATCTTCTTTCCGAACAACCAGCCCACCTGTTTCGGGATCCACGAAGGCTGTTACACATAACACTTCATTATTTGGATCACTCATTTTTCTTGCTTTTCTTAGTTTTAATTATTTAATTATCACAGTTAATGCATGCAGCAAACGAAAACCGACAAACGGAAAGCGTGGTATAAACAAGTCTAATTGCGCATGAGCAAACAAATAAATTGCAAACCTGTGAACTAGACTGCAATTTCGATCACAAATTTACGAAAAAATAATTTGATCACCACTGAGTACTGCTAGCAGTAAATCGCAGGATTTGCCGAAAACACCCATTATATATTTGATTGTAACTGTCAGGTGAACAAATATAAGGTTAGAGCGCCTGGCTCTTTAAGGGGGGAAACTCGTGTAAATGCACGTTTTTTCAGGCACTTTTTTTTAAGAAACTGATAAAGTTTATTGAATTAAAGTAAGGCATACATTAAAGTACACAATATAAGGGGCCATTCATTAATTACGTAAGGGTCCTTAGGGGGAGGGGGGGTTTATAAAATCTCTACATGCTCTTACGTGGGGGGGTGGGGGGTAGAAGCTAATCTTACGTAAGATTTTGCCAAGTATTTTCCATTTGTATTGATGTAATTAATTTTTTAATTACATTAATATTGTTAAAAACTTACGTAAGAAGGGGGAGGGGGGGTCCGAAAAATCTTATGTATCCTTACATGGGGGTAGGGGGGGTCAAAATTAGCCAAAATCGTCCTTACGTAATTAATGAATGGCCCCTAAGCTTTATAAAAAAATCTTTTTTCTTAAAAAATATTACAAAATGGCGGCTTTACAGGCGTTTGAAGTTGCATCTTTAATTTTGCGCCGTGCGTTAAAATACGCTTTGCATGACGAAGAGAAAACTAAAATTTTTTTTTGAAAATTTGAAACTATTTTGAAAAAAAATCACTTTTTTTCTTATAAACAATGTTCAAAAACAGTTGTTAAAAATTTCTTTTTAAAAAAGGAGCTCGTTATGCAATAGCCAGTAAGATAAAGAAGATTTGTGGTAAGTTTGATTAAAATCGGTTAAAAATTGGCTGAGTTACATTGCACGGCGCGCGAAAAAACACGTACAAAGTTTTCGTTATATTAAAGTAGTGTTTTACCTATTGCTATGAAGACGTTATGTATTCGAAAATAACTGTTGCACTAAAACAAAGATTTACTATCAATGCTTATGGTGCTTTCTAATGACAATTAATAAAATTATATTGACAAGAAACCTAAAGAATAGAGGGATCTCGAGCTCATAGTTAACTGCATTTGTTAGCATCTGAAGTGCTAAACATATGCTTACTATAGACATTCATACATCAAATTATAGATTAGTAATGTAGGATCATATTCTACAAATAGTAAACTAATTTTTAAAACAAAAAAAAGTCGTAAAAAATTTTTTTTTGAACGAATTTTCCATCTTAGTATTAAATAAAACACAGAAACATATTTATAACAGAAAAGATTCATTAACAAATTATTACCGGCTAAGAAGTGGATACGGGGGATACATCTTTTTTTATCACTCAAATTATACACTTAGGAGGAATTGTTTTAACAAATTTATTAAAAATGGCAAAAGAAACAAACAAAATAATATTTTTGACTTCAATTAGAATTTAAGCAAATTCGACTATTCTCTTATTTATTACATTAATTTTCCAAGACTTTATTCTACCTAGCTTTGACAGAACACTTTAAAAATTTTTTAGTTTAATTACACAGTTGAGAGTAGATCTTTTTTACCAAGAAAATATATCTGATGATGTCGACAATTTTCTTATATTTAACGACATCTTGCGTCATATTTTAGTGAGATATTGGCGATTCAAACAGCTACACTAGCGCCACAGTTGAACTAATTTAGGTGTGACTCGCTCTGTAGCACTCCATGTGTTTTAAATTATTTTTTTTCATTTAACGCTTAAAAATAATTTTACAAACGCAATAAAAATATCAGAATAATTAAATAATTTGAAATAAACTGTCAAAACAGAGACTGCTTTAGAGCGAGTCACGCCTAAATTAGTTCAACTGTGGCGCTAGTGTAGCTGTTTGAATCGCCAATAACAAGATTGTCCAAATTGGCAGCTCTTGACTTCTTCACTCCATTATAATTTGATCGTATATTTTAGCTCTTTTCACTCCAGGTCTGAGAGCTATTTGTTAATTATTAGTCTTACTGACAATATTGAGTATTTAAAACGGTAATATACTATGGGAAATTGAAAACAATTAATTCATTAATAATTTTTTAAATAAAACTCGAAAATTTTGAAGCCTGAAAATTCAACTTCTTCCACAATTTTTATTATTTTTTATCGGCAATTTTTTTGTAGTCTGTTTTTATGATTCTGAACATTGAATCGTATGCATTTTTAAAAATTTTAATATTTTCAAAAAATAAAATTTCTAAAATGGTCAAAAAAATTACTGTTTAATTTTTATAATTCACAATAATTTTAGATCTTAAATAATGCTAGAAAAAAAATTGACACCTCTTAACAACATTAATTTCGATGAGTTGAAATTTTACCGGTCTCTCTCCTTAATGAAGGAATTAAATGAAATAACTCTTTTAAAATTAACTCAAAATAGGGAATTCTATTATTTACGAAAGAGTACAGTTACCAGATGAAAAAGTTCTATAGAATTTCACTAGAATGATTCTGCAGAATTTCTACAAGAATTCTAGTAAATCTTAATTCTTGAATAAAAAGGATGTTGAATGCTATGGATTAATTAAACAATTTCTTTTTTCTTGAAGATTAATATGGGCTATGAGAGATATTCCAAGACTTTTTAGTTTTTAAACAATTTTTCAAACGAAATTTTTTGGTAAAATAATTTTTATTTACAAGAATGACATTATTGTTGATCAGTGTTTTTTTTGAAACAGCATCTTGACTTTAAGAAGTTAATATTTAAAATTTTAAACCTAACTTGCCTTTAAAATTTAATAAATAGTTTATTATTATTTTTTGAAAACAAGAAACCCGCTTTTAATAAAAACCATTTTGTAATGTAAGTATAATTTATTTGTAAATAAATAAAATATTACAATAAATTTGTAATAATTTCTTTAATAATTATTAAAGAAATTATGTAAAAATAATAAGATGCGAAATTAAAATAAAGATAAATTTTAAAGTAGACATATTACATACATAGTTTATTAAAAGTTTCATTTTACTTCATTTATTGAGTTAACGGGACATGCCCGTTAATAAAAAAGATACTAGAATTCGTGTAGAAATTCAATATAATCATTCTAATAAAATTCTATAGAATTTTTTCATCTGGGTTCATCTATTTTTTATAATTAAATAATAAAATATTTAAAAAGTTAAGGAAATCGTAAATACCCGACTTAAAAAACTTGTTCAAGAAAATGAACATGTTTTTGTACAAGTTCATAACATTTTTAGGGTTTCGTGGCCCATGGCCGAAAGCCTTATAGTTTCACTTTGGCGTCCGTCTGTCCGTAGTATATTTTGGGGCACCACAGCTCCCAAAATCAAATTTTAGGGCACAGATCCCAAATTAAAATTTTGGGGCACCACAGATCCCAAATTCAAATTTTGGGGCACCACAGATCCCAAATTCAAATTTTGGGGCCCCACAGATCCCAAATTCGAATTTTGGGCAAACATAGCTTCCAAATTCGAATTTTGGGGCACCACAGATCCCAAATTCAAATTTTGGGGCACCATAGCTCCCAAATTCAAATTTTGGGGCCCCACAGATCCCAAATCTCCATTTACTGAATGGACATTTTCCCGAATGGACATTACATGTCCCATTAGTTAACATGCCCCTATAATTGACATGTCCCAGTAGTTGACCTGTCTCAGTAATTGACATGTCCCAATAGTTGACATGTCCCTATAGTTGACATGTCCCTATAGTTGACATGTCTTAATAGTGGACATTATCGAATGGACATTTTACCTAATGTTTTTGTTAGCGAATCAAAAAAGATAAATGATAGAAGAAAGACCTCCACTCCACAGCCACTCTTTCTTTTTTCTTTCATTTACCTTTTTGAATTTTGATTTTGCCAATTTTTGATTTTCTTCGAATTTACTGTCTGGGGGAGAATTAATTTATGGAAATTAATATTTTATAATTTATAATTAATTTATAATAAAAATTTTGCCAAATAAATAAAATTTAATAGTACATAAAATTTATAAAATAAATTTCATTATTTATTTTTAAATTATTTATTTTTGATTTATTTTTTTTTAATTAAAATGTAAAGCGCCACGAAACCCTAGATGTAGGCGCAATTGCGCCTAGTTCTTTTCCTATTTTTATACATGTTCAACATTCGAAATGGAAACAAGTTCTTGTACACATTGTGTCGTTTTCATATTGTTATATGTAGAGGAAAATAATTATAATTAATAACAATCGTTTCAAACAGTATAGATAAATTTTAATCCTTTTTCCTATGATTTGTAAAACTGTGATTTAAAATACTGCAAATTAGACTGGAAGTGTTTCTTAAAACAAAATAAACACTGAAGCTTATTAAAATAATAGAAATAAAGAAAAATACGTAGACATCGACAAGTTCTGCTTTCCACCAAGGCATGTCCATTGCTGGTGATCGTAATGAATTTGCGCCGTTCCTTATAACGTACTCGATCCAAAATACTGCCGTGTCCGTTGCACTCATAGGTCGATCTCGAAATAAGTGAGATTCTCGTCTAGTAGCTTCTCTGAAAAAGTAACAATTTTTATATATTAGGTATCTATTTTACATTTTTAAATAATTTTCTTATCTTAAAATATTAAGTCATTAAAGAAAAATAAAATAAAATTTTAATAATTAAAACTAGTTATATGTATATTGTAAATTTTAAAAATTTCAAATTGAAATATCTTACCGATACTTGGGATCATAAAGAACTGCATACAAAGCATTACTTAAAGATTTTTCGGTAATATATTTGTAATTCATTTCATAAGCTACATTCTTGTCAGCTAGCAGCCGGATGTTTAGTGGCTGATCTCCAAATAGTGGAAAACCAATCATTGGCACAGCAAAATAAAGACCTTCTTGCACACTATTTAATCCTCCATGAGTCATAAATACTTTTGTATTTTTGTGTTCTAAAGGAAAAAATGTGAAACTTCATTAACATGCAATTTTTAATTATTCAATCTTTCTCTAAAAAAATATATTTTAAAAATTTCATCTTACGTAAAACTGGAATTTGCGGAATCCAAGACATTGTCAACACATTTTTCGGCAAACATGGAGGAAGTTTTTCTTTATTTACAATTTTCATTAGAACTCGAATGGGCGATAATTTTTCAAAAGCTGCATAGATTCCTAGTAAAATTTCTTTTGGTAAATCTTCGATAATAACCATAGATCCTAGAGTGAAAAACACAACTCCGTGAGAACTTTCATCCATCCAAATTTTTAGCTCCTGTATTTACAGAAAATTACAGATTAAAAAATTAAGGTTACGGATAATTCAGACTTGAAAATAAGATTAAAAAATATGTAACTTATACATTAAATTTCCTTAAACCTTTGTCAATTTTGTTTCACTGAGTTCAATTTGAATGCCAGAAATTTGAACGACTGCGGGAGTTAAAGGTCTTATACCAAAGAAACTCTGATAGGCATTGACTAGAAGCAGAGCGGTTTTCTTTTCAATTTCTCTGATATTTGGTACATTCGGACTCAAATATTTTCTCATAGCAATGGTCTGATTTTCTTCTGTATATTTGAAAAATCGGTAATTATTAAAATGAGCCCAAAAATGATTTTTTACTCGATCCCAAAATGTTACAATTCGAAAATCCTTTGTCCTAATGTTAACTGCATAAGCATTCGACATTGGGTTTCCAAGTATTTCATCAAACCATAAAAATTCTGTCAAAGCTGACACCACGACAACTGGAACATTCAAAACGTGTCCAAATCCAAAAAAACAATTTGCTCCCAAAGCCTGAAAAATATATTTAATACTGATATCAAAAAATAATTTTTAAGTTTAGATAGTCTTCATAAATTTCATTTACATGAAATTACGTTAAATTAATATTTATAATTAAATTAGATATTCAAATTTTATTAAAATTATTTCTTTAAATATAAAAATTAAAATTATTAATTTGCAAACCTCTACAATGACCAAATTGTATGGGGGATCATTTGGTGGATTTTTGATAAACCTCTGCATTTTCTCTAGCCCCATTAAATCACAAAAATTGTTTCCAAACTCTTCAATTATTGTCGGAATTAAATCAACATATCGAAAATGTTCTACCATTTCCATTGTCCAAGTATTCACCATTTTTTTCAATGAACCGTCCAAATTGATAATTGTAGTATAATTTTTTGGGGGATTTTTCATTTCGAAATGTGAAATAACGTCAATTTGATGTCCCTTCAATGCTAAAGCTTTAGCGACACTTTCCAACATATTAGTATGACTTCTTGAATTTAGTGGAGCAATCACAAGTATTCTGTACGCGTCACTGTTTAAACTAATGATATATATTGAAAATATATAGTAATATAAATTATTAAACGAAACCATTCTTTTATATATATTTGTATTAATCACGAAAAACAACTCCAATCTCTTGCTATTTTTAAACTGATTGATATTCTAAACCACGAATCTTAATAAATGCACTTATATGTCGCATATGTATTCATTATCTTATCAAAGGTAATTAAATTGTGATTCTTTAAATCTTATTTAATATGTAGTGAACAAAAATCAATTTTTTCTAATAAGATATTTAATTTAAAATTCGATTTATCATGCTAAATTGCGTTATTCTTCAAAAGTTTTCTCATTTAAATATAAAATGAAATTATCTTATATTTATATATCGCTTTTTTAGTAAAAAAATATGTACCTAATTGTTAATTTCTTACTAGTTTTCAAGGTAGAAATAGTTAATGAACTTTGACTATATTAATTTGTTATAATTTTTATTTTATAAAATTTCATTAGAAAGAATATTCATATAGCCTAATTTATATTTGTTCGAATTATTTTTTGACAGAATTTCCATTAAACCAATTTTTTCTATTATTACAAAATTGTTAAATAATTAAAAATTCACTTCACTGATTTTTTATTTGTTCGAATTCTCATTTAACATATTAAAGTGAATTTTTATCAGGTAAAATTTTATTGCAGAAAATTTTCCTTTAGACAATTTGTCATTTCTTACAATTTTTATCTGACAGAATTTCTATTTAACAAATTTTTATATTACAGAATATTTATCTAACCGATAATTTGTTTAATTTTAATCATTATTTATGTTTATTATTTTATTAAAATTTGTTGAAACGTTTTCAAGTTATCGTGTTCACAAAAACGGAAATACAAACGCACATCCGAACAATTAATCAGGAACTTCTGTGCTCGAATAAAAAAATTATTGACAAAGAGTCGAACTTTTGATTAACCACTTTTCGATATCTTTTATAGACAAAAATTTTAAGACTCACCTTACTCATATAAGTCTCAAGAAGTATTATAAATAAATTTTATTATGACATGAAGATTTTTATGTTAATTAAATAAAATGATATAATTGATGTTGTTTAATTACAATTTCTTAAAATAGCTTAAGTAAATATCGTTTCAAACAGTATAGATAAATTTTAATCATTTTTCCTATGATTCTTAGAACTGGGATTAAAAATATTGCAAAATAGACATAAAATTTTCCGGAAAACAAAGTAAGCGCTGTAGCTTATTAAAATAATGGAAATAAAGAAAAATACGTAGACATCGACAAGTTCTGCTTTCCACCAAGGCATGTCCATTGCTGGTGATCGTAATGAATTTGCACCGTTTCTTATAACGTACTCGATCCAAAATACTGCCGTGTCCGTTGCACTCATAGGTCGATCTCGAAATAATTGAGATTCTCGTCTAGTAGCTTCCCTGAAATAATTAATTGCAAGATTAGAATTTTACATCACATTCTATGAAAAGTTTTTTCAAAAATATCTTTCGTTTCTACATCTTTAAGAATTGACTCAGTCCTCTTCAGTTCCATAATGAAAATTCCACATAGGTTCCAATACAAAATCGTATACGTATTTGGAACAGGAGTTCTTTTTTTTAATGATATCCAAATGTATATTTAAGGTATATTAAAATTTTACTTAAATAATAATTTAATCTAAGTGCATGATTTAAAACTTTTTAAAATTTATATAAAATATCGTACCGATACTTGGGATCATAGAGAACTGCATGTAGAGCATTATTCAAAGATTTTTCGGTAATATCTTTGTAATCCATTTCGTAAACAACATTTTTATCAGCAAGTAGCCGGATGTTTAATGGTTGATCACCAAATAATGGTAAACCAATCATTGGCACGGCAAAATAAAGGCCTTCTTGTACACTATTTAATCCTCCATGAGTTATAAATACTTTCGTATTTTTGTGTTCTGAGGAAAAAATCCAAAGCTTTATTAATTTTCGCAATTTTTTAAGAAAAAATAATTAAAATTTAAGTAATTCAATTAATATAAATTACACAGTCTTACAAGAAAATGAAAGTATTTGGATTTAGGAACGAGACACATATATTTTTATACACTGAATTTAAAGACTTTCACCAAAAAGTGATAGGCCAATTCGAAAAATGGATTTGAATATAGCGCCTTAAAGTGAGGCGCATGATTAAACCCCAAATTTGTTTTTTCGAATTTTTATTTTCTCGAAAATCGTTTTATCTGAAAGGAATTGACTATAATTTTTTGAATTCGAATCGTCAGATTATATGATAAAAATACTTTCGAATTATTATTTGACAGAATTTTTTAACTTCGAAAGAACATTTTTTATAATTTTCAATTTACCGTATAATCATTTCTCATAATTATTATTGTAGAGAATTAGTATTTTTCATAATTTTTATTTTTCCAAAAACCTGTTTACACTATTTTTGATTTTACATAATGACCATTTTTTATAATTTTTTTTCTTCGAATTATCATTTTGTATAATAAATATGTTAGGACAAATAGAGTTTCTTTAAAATTCTGATTATGGCATATGGGCAAATCCACAGAACCGGCCGATTTTTACTTATCAAGATGAAAATTTTCCAAATAGCAAGCACACCTTTTATTTATGGTTTACTTTCTTTAAAATATATTCAAGAACAATTATCTTCTTGCGTGATTCATTTTATTTTAATGCCGTTTGAGTTAAAAGCCAAAAACGAAAATATTATTTTTCTTCTGGAAATTATAATTATAAATGGCATTTCTTTGTTTTTTTTATATATTATTTGAAATATGTGCAAAACATTTTGAATAATAAAATATGATAAAATACAAATAATTAATTTTTTAATTATCAAAAATAAATTATTTATATTTTATCATATTTTATTATATATTTTATTTATTAGCATTTAATTTTTTATTTCTGTAAATTAAATTGTTTACTTACTAATTTTGATATTAACTATTTTAACCAACAAACTGACATTATTGACATCGATTTTGATATAACTTTGAAAATAAAACAAATGAAAGGATAATTCATTTTTCACGATTAACTAGTTAAATTTCGATAAATTTTTTTTTATTTTTAATTTTTAGACGTTATAAATTGAAAATATAATTTGGCGTTTGCATACAAGAATTATAATAATGTCTTTATATAATCACACATGTTTTCAACTCATCATATTTTATCCTGTAGTTGTGCTACTGAAAAAAGGCTAAGTTGAAAATGGTTCACGCTTAAACATAGAGTGATAATTATTGAAATATTTTCTTTAATTCTGATTGCACTCTATTCTATGATACATACATTTGTTCGTCTGTTCACAAGCAATAAGCTCCAATTTGAAAAATTCAAATCGAATAATCGCCGCAAAAGATATTTACAAAAATGTATAGACATTTCATTATTATAAAATAATGAGTAACGCTACTTTCAACGACTATCATTTCTTTTTATTTAAGAGCACATATTTTTTATTACTTTCAAAACATTCTTCAATAAGTAAACTATAATTCACCACAGTTTGGAATTGTTCGGATCTATGCCGAACAAGTTATACCTATAAGAATTAAAATTTATACCTGGAGTAACACCGTAAATTTCATTTTTGAAGTTACTTAATTCGATTTTATTTTTTATAAAAGACTAGAAGGTTCACATTTATTCAATTTTCTTATTTCAATAGGTTCTCAGAGATATTACAAAATGGTTGAAGTATGAAAATAATTAATATAATACTTCTAAAATAGAAAAATATGTGAGTAACATGAAATCGGCCGGTTCTGTGGATTTGCCCATATAACGATTCGAGAAAATAGAGATTATTATAAATAAATATTAGGGGAAATTAAAATTATGTTAAATGGTAATTCGCAAAAGAAATAATTCTAATATTAATAATTCGTTAAAATTAAAATTCGGAAAAATAATAATTAGAAAATTTAGAAATTATGTGAAATGATTATTCGGTGTTATCTTACTTAAAACTGGAATTTGTGGAATCCAAGACATTGTCAGCACATTTTTCGGCAAACCTGAAGGAAGTTTTCCTTTATTTACAATTTTTATTAGAACTCGAATGGGCGATAATTTTTCAAAAGCTGCATAGATTCCTAATAAAATTTCTTTTGGTAAATCTTCAATAATAACCATAGATCCTAGAGTGAAAAACACAACTCCGTGAGAACTTTCATCCATCCAAATTTTCAGCTCCTGTTTTTCAGAAAATATAATAAATAGATTAAATAAATTTCAGGCTACGGATAGTTTAGACTTAAATATATGAATAAAAAATATGAAACTTATACATCAAAATTCCTCATACCTTTGTCATTTCTGTTTCACTGAGTTCAATTTGTATGCCAGCAATTTGGACCACACTGGGAGTTAAAGGTCTTATACCAAAGAAACTTTGATAGGCATTAACTAGAAGCAGAGTTGTTTTCTTTTCAAGTTCTCTAATATTTGGTACATCCTGACTTAAATATTTTCTCATGGCCACGGTTTGATTATCTTGTGTGTACTTAAAAAATCTGTAATTACTATAATGAGCCCAAAAATGATTTTTCACTCGATCCCAAAATGTTACAATTCGAAAATACTTTGTCTCGAAGTTAACTGTGTAAGCGTTGGACATGGGGTTTCCTAGTATTTCATCAAACCATACAAGTTCTGGCACAGCTGAAACCATTACCACTGGAACTTTCAGGACGTGTCCAAATCCAAAAAAGCAATTTGCTCCTAAAGCCTGAAAGAATATTTAATTCTGATATCAAAAAATATTTGTGTTACTAAATAATAATCTCCATTAACTTATATTTATAAATTAAAATCAATTGGGAAAGGAGCAAAATTTATTTTTCCTACAAAGTAATGTAGAAAAGAAAATTTTAAAGTATCTGGCTAACAAGAATGATGGAATAGATATCTACAAAAATTACCCTACTGAAAATTCCGATGGCGAAAAAGACGATGCTGTTTATAACGCGATTATAAGCTAAGTACCCGAAATACAATCGGTGGAATTTATCAGTAAACAACAAACGGGAAAGGGTTTAACATACGAATCACTTACACTATTTATTATAAAAGCCGAAGATAATTGGATTAGTGCTGCCCACAAGACCAAGACTGGTCTCGATCTCGTATCATCTCGATTTTTTGAGACAAGACCGAGACGAGACTCATCTTGGATAAAACGAAGAATCAAAATAATAATAATAATTGAATAAATAATCAACATAATTTTTGGCATTTTTTTCACTTTTAATATTTTGAAAATTATTTTCTTAAACTTAAGAACGTGCAACCCATTAACATAACCTCAAACTAAAATGCAGTTTTTAACAGAACTAAAAATATATTTAAAATTTATTACACCCAAGTTCGAAAGATCCAATTGTATAATTTTATAAAAAAATTATTTTGAGTTAAAATTTGTTGTTAAATAATAATTAAACAACATTTTGTATTTTTTCTTAAAAGTTAGTGAAGAATTCTAACTTTTATCCAATTTTTATAAACAATGGCTCATTTTTCTTTTTGAAAGATTCTCTACAATTCTGATTTTGTGTTTTTGTTAAATAATTGTTTGTTTAAAAAATATTTTTAAAAAATTTTATTTGTTTATTAACTTTGGAACAAAATATTTTTAGTAAAATTCAACAAATTGTATTGTAGAAAATCTTTCAAAAAGCAAAATGAGCTATAGTTTGTAAGAATTGCATAAAAATTACAATTGTTCACTAACTTTTAATAAAAAATACAACATGTTTATTAATTATTATTTAACAACAAATTTTAACTCAAAATAATTTTTTTCCAAAATTGTACAATTGGATCTGTCGAATTTAGGTGTCATAAATTTTAATATATTTTTAGTTCTGATAAAAACTACTTTTTAGTTTGAGGTTATGATAATAATGGGTTTAACCTCCTTAAGTCTCAATTATTCGTATCAAGATAAGTATCCTGTTTCACTTTTCTATACGAATTTATATGGGATCCTATAAAAATTCCTTTAAAATTCAAGGATTTTAAATAGTTTTTTCTCTGGGAAATTTTATTGGATCCTATATAGGATCCTACATGGGGATTTTCAGTAAGGTACTTAAAAATTATTAAACTTTTAACTAATTTTTTGGAATTTATTTGTTTTTTGCTTCCTCATGAGGAAGCTTTGCATTCATAATGATTTTCGATGTTTTAAAATTGGGTTATATGGACTCATTTTTATCTAGAATTAATATATATATATAAATATATATGAAGTTTTGAGCTAATGTCCAGATGTATGTGTGTGTATGTCACAAAATATTGTGTACAAATTATCTCAGAAACGTTTTAACGGTTTCACGTGAAATTTTGTATGCTTATTGTAATCATTAATACCTAAAATCTGACACAAGGATTTCCAAATATATTCACATTATTTTTTTTATTTAAAAAAATTTTTTTTTATATTTTTTTCTGTGTAAATTTAATTTTGTTTGGTAAAAAAAACTTGTTTCTTGCATTAAAACGAATCGATTAACCTATATAAAGTTCATATTTTACTGAAATCTATAGATTAAATAATTTATTTGAATTTTTGAAAATAATAGTTTTTTGAAATTACTTTTTAGGGTTCCGTACACCTTCGGTGTACCGACGGAACGCTTATGAAAATACTCTTGCGTCCGTCCCAGCTTTGTGCCCCCCCCCCTTAACTGCAATTTAGTACACATACGTATTTTCACGTGTATATTACAGGAAAAATATAGCAAGACCGATTGGATTTGATGGCTACGAGCTAGAAAGGAAAGAAATCGGTCTTTTTCGAAAAAATTGCAAAAAATGACCCTGCCCCCCCTCAACTTCTACATTTTCGTATATGAAGAACTGCCATTTAGTACACATACGTACTACACGTTTACGTGTAGATTACAGGAAAAATATAGCGAGACCGATTGGATTTGATGATCATATTATTTTTAAGGAAAACTCATATTTTTAGAAAAAATCATGGATTTTTTGAAAAAAAATTCGTGAACTACGAGTTACACTCGCTTACCTAGGGTTTCGTTTACGATTATTTAAATTTAAATATTTAAATATAATATTTTAAAGGGGTTGGCTATATTTTATGTGAAATTTCCACATGAAATTAAATATGTGTACCAAGTTGCAGCTTCTTAGGTCCAAAATTGTAAACGTTAAAGCGCGGAAGGACACGTTTATTCCGAAAATTCGAGTTTTTGAAATATAACAATATTTAATTCAATTCCAATCGAGTTCTCTATAATTTTCCTTTAAACTCCTTGAAAAATTACGTATGTATACCAAATTTGAACATCCTAGCTCCAAAATTGTAAAAGTTAATGGTTCCGTTCACGATTATTAAAAAAATATTTAAATATAATATTTTAAAATAATATATTTTAATATAAGATATATAATTTTAATATAATATAATAATATTAATTTTTTAATTCTAATTCAATTTCAAAGGGATTAGATTTATTTTTTCGTGAAATCTACATATGAAATCAGGTTCGCTATAATTTACCTTAAATCTACTCGTAAAAATACGTATGTATACCAAATTTGAGCCCAATCGGTTAAAATGGCTAGATTTTAGGGGGAGACACACACTTTTTCACGAAATTTCACATATGTATACCAAATTTGAGCCAAATCGGTTAAAATGGCTAGATTTTAGGGGGGGGCACAGACTTTTTCACGAAATTTCGAGTTTTTCTACTATAACTATATTAAATTCAATTCTAATCGGGTTCGCTATAATTTTCCTTAATTCTACTCGCAAAAATTCGTATGTATATCAAATTTGAGCCCAATCGGTTAAAATGGCTAGATTTTAGGAGGGGGCAGGATTTTGTGGACGGACATGAGTGAAACTATAAGGGTTCCGTTTCTGTTCACTGCGTGAACGGAATCCTAAAATCGAAGAAAATTTTATCTATAGGGCTTCAAATTTATACGTTTTTACGTATTTTTACGTGTAGATTGCAAGAAAAATATAGTGAGCATGATTGGAGTTGATAATCATAGCGTTTTCAAGGAAAAACTGATAATTTTCGATCTATGTGACTATGTGTCTATCTATGTGTTTTCAAGCTCACATTACACGAAAAATTAAGCAAAATTGGAATTTTTCCACCTGCCTTCACACTTTAACCCCCTTTAAATTTTAAGTTTAAGGGTACGGAACCCTCGGTTTTAATGCGAGTATAACTCGCACTTGTCCGATTTTTTCTTATATAAAATTTTTTATTAATTTTTGTCAATATTGTATTCCTGGCATAAAAACGAATCGATTGATGTATATAAGGTTTACATTTTACCAATAATTATAAAATTGATCGCTATTTTAGTTGTAATCCTTCTTTTAATCTTGAATATGTATAAGTTAGAGTTGTGCAAGTTTTTAAAATTCGAACCGCTCCATAAGAATTAACATGGGCTCGAATCGAATATTCGATCCGAGCCCATACAAAATTCGATCTTTTGCACAGCTCTATTATAAATGTATCATGATGAGGAAGCTAAATGGTCAGGAAATGAACATCTAGTTTCATAAAATATAAGTTTCTAGGGTTACTTAATTTGTTTGTATTTGTCACAGGAAATTCAATTAAAGTTTACTTTTGCAACACTTTAGTAAATCCCAGTTAGGGACAATATGAATTGACTCAAACTTTGCCCAAGTACATACCAGAAAAAAAAGATTTATGCACTGTTTACAGTTGCAATCTTTTTGTTTATTTGTCCAGCATATTATTTATTATATGTAAAATAACCACACAACTGTAAAATTAAAAAATTAAAGTAAATTTAAATCAGAATATTAATTTCCTACGTTAATTCATCGATTGTGAAGAAAACAGTAAAGTATAATCAATTTTTATTATTAGTACCTATATGTTCAATATACTAATTTTAATTTATTATTTAAATAAAATTAATATTATTTTAATTTAATGTGGGTTCTGATTGAGAAATATCAACTTAAGAGTGGGATTTGAATGGGATATTCCAATTTTAGGAAGCCCAGTTGGGTCCAGATTGGGCAACTTTGGGAAAATTTCTACACGGTTAAAAGTATATATGATTTTTAATTTATACTGTAAAATGTGTGTTTATTATTTTCTTGATATTCTACCAAATTAAATTAATGCGTGTACGGTTTTTTTTATAAATTAAATTTGTCTAGAATTGATATATAATATCAAAAATAGGAAAAGAACTAGGCGCAATTGCGCCTACATCTAGGGTTTCGTGGCGCTTTAAATTTTAATTAAAAATAAAATAAATCAAAAATAAATAAATTAAAAATAAATAATAAAATTTATTTTATAAATTTTATGTACTATTAAATTTTATTTATTTAGCAAAATTTTTATTATAAAAAAAAATTTATGGCAAACTTTTTAAAAAATGGCAATCAAAGAAAATCAAAAATTGTCAAAAATCAAAATTGAAAAAAAAGGTAAATGAAAGAAAAAAGAAAGAGTGGCTGTGGAGTGGAGGACTTTCTTCTATCATTTATCTTTTTTGATTCACAAACAAAAACATTAGGTAAAATGTCCATTCGATAATGTCCACTATTAAGACATGTCAACTAAGACATGTCAAGAAAAAAAAGAGTGGCTGTGGAGTGGAGGTCTTTCTTCTATCATTTATCTTTTTTGATTCACAAACAAAAACATTAGGTAAAATGTCCATTCGATAATGTCCACTATTAAGACATGTCAACTATAGGGACATATCAACTATAGGGACATGTCAACTATATGGACATGTCAACTATTGGGACATGTCAACTATTGGGACATGTCAATTACTGAGATAGGTGAACTACTGGGACATGTCAATTATAGGGCCATGTTAACTAATGGGACATGTCAATTATAGGGGCATGTTAACTAATGGGACATGTAATGTCCATTCGGGAAAATGTCCATTCAGTAAATGGAGATTTAGGATCTGTGGGGCCCCAAAATTTGAATTTGGGAGCTATGGTGCCCCAAAATTTGAATTTGGGATCTGTGGGGCCCCAAAATTTGAATTTGGGAGCTATGGTGCCCCAAAATTTGAATTTGGGATCTGTGGTGCCCCAAAATTCGAATTTGGGAGCTATGGTGCCCCAAAATTCGAATTTGGAAGCTATGTTTGCCCAAAATTCGAATTTGGGATCTGTGGGGCCCCAAAATTTGAATTTGGGAGCTATGGTGCCCCAAAATTTGAATTTGGGATCTGTGGGGCCCCAAAATTTTAATTTGGGATCTGTGGTGCCCCAAAATTTTAATTTGGGATCTGTGCCCTAAAATTTGATTTTGGGAGCTGTGGTGCCCCAAAATATACTACGGACAGACGGACGCCAAAGTGAAACTATAAGGCTTTCGGCCATGGGCCACGAAACCCTAAAAATTTATAGTCAAATAATATAAAATTACAATTTAAATATTATTTTTAAACTATTACAATTTATTTGAAATTTTAAATTTAAGATCTTAAAATTCCAGAATTTAATAAATTAAAATTAATTATTTTTAAATTTTTCAACTTATTATTTAATAAATTTCATTTACAGTTTGAATTTAACTATTTTGAAAAATACATCTTTAAGTTATGTGGTACAGTATTTTCATAATCTTTTTCAACAATTTTGTACAATTTATAATTTAAAAAAAGAAATTATGAAAAAAAAAATTTAATTAACATTACAAATTTAATTTGTATTCTGAAAAACCAAAATCTAAAATATTTGAAATATTTTTTGTCAGACTATAATACAGAAGTACTTATACATATTTAAAACTTTTTCACCTATAGGTATCATTTATCTTTAAAAATTTATTATTTACTGAACAAAATTACCAAATTATTTAGCTGAATTGTTAACTCAATTTTAAAAAGAGTGCATTTTAGAAATAACATTATTTGCTGTGTCAACAAAAAATTTCCTAAAACAGCAAATTTTTTCTATGCTTAAAAAATTCATAATATATTATAGAAAGAATGTAGAAAGTTAGAAATTACAAGCATATAAAATTACTTTTATGACAAAAAGATCCAAAAATGTAACTAACCTCTGTAATGACCAAATCGTAGGGAGGATCATTTGGTGGATTTTTAATAAATTTCTGCATTTTTTCCAGTGCCATTAATTCACAAAAATTATTTCCAAACTCTTCAGTTATTGTTTGTACTAAATCATTATCTCGAAATTGTTCTACCATTTCCATTGTCCAAGTGTTCACCATTTTTTTTAATGAACCGTCCAAATTGATAATTGTCGTATAATTTTTTGGCGGTTTTTTTAATTCGAAATGTGAAATAGCATCAACTTGATGACCCTTTAAGGCTAAAGCTTTAGCGACACTTTCCAACATGTTAGTATGACTTTTTGAATTGAGTGGAGAAATTACAAGTATTCTATACGCATCACTGTTTGAATTAATGAAATATATTAAAAATAGGCACAAATAGAAGTTAGTAAACGAAACCATTATTTCTTATTTACTTGTTCAAATAATAAAACAATTCTAACTTCTTGCTGTTTCTAAACTGATTGATATTCTAAACTGCGAATCTCATTAAATGCACTCTTATGCAGCATGCATATTTATTATCTTATCAGGGGTAATTAAGTAACGATTCTTCAAATCTTATTTAATATGTAGCAAACAAAAAAAGTTTTCCCAACGTGATATGTAATTGAAAATTCGATTTATCATGCTACGTTGCATTTTTCATCAAATGTTGTATCATTCAAATAAAATGAACTTATCATACATTCATATTTCGCTTTCCTACACTGAGAGACCTTTTGTACCGCGTCAGAACTACGTGTGAGACTGCAGCGCCACTATAGGTTTTTGTGCGCTGCATTCCTAAATTTTGTAGCGTGACTGCCCAAAAATGAAAATGAACAGCTCACCACATCTGTAAGAGCGCTGTTGTCGAAAAGTTTGGGCATACCCTGAACAAAATTTTCATTAGGATTAGGAGTTTAGGACCTTTAAGTTTGAAGTTTTGATTGTCTTTTCGAATATTATAAAGAAATAATGTTATTTTATCAAGAAAAATAAATTAAAAAGTTCATTTTAATAAAAGACATATTACAAATTTTATTAAAATTATATTTAATTTTATATATATATATATTAATATGTAATACTAAATAATTATAATAATATGATAATGTAATAATTCATTAAAATTATTACTACTATGTCACAATGTCAATCAGATTTTTTTTTATTATTAACATTAACAAAACATAAAACTTATACAAATTAAAATTAATAAAATACTACTTTCTTATAGTGCTCTCTAAATCTGAATTAGTAGTTTTCTACTCTCTATATCTGAATTAGTAAAAAAGTTTACCAATTTGAATTAGTGACTCACTTTTTGCTTCTCAATTAGTAAAATTTAACTAATTCTGAAGCAAAAAGTGAGTCACTAATTTAAATTAATAAACATTTTTACAAATTCAGATTTAGAGAGAACTAATGAAAGAGTGCGTATTCGTTTACCAATTGAATTAGAAAAAGTTTTGACTAGTTTTTAGTAAAAAAATCTACTAATTGCTAGTAGAAAACTACTAATTCATATAGTAAATCGGCTTACTAATTTGAAATAGTATAAAATACGATTTACTCCATAAATTAGTAGTTTTTACTAAAAATTAGTCAAAACTGTTACTAATTCAATTAGTAAACGAATTCGCACTCTTTCATTAATAGAAAACTACTAATTCAGATTTAGAGAGTGCGAATTAATTGACAAAGCATATTTAGTAGCGATGAAATGTAAGTCATCTTTAATTAGAGACAAACAAGGGTCTGTAAAAATAAGCCATTTGTGCCTACATTTTCTAAAACTTTGCTGTGAACATCAAACGCATCGCAATGAATGTCATTTTCGTCAATTTCAAAAAAACCCCTGAATTCCATTGAATGCATTATTTGGCAAGTTTGAAGTGTCTGCTTAGTTGCAATAGTTTTTAATAAATTAATTCTGTTATTTGAGGACAATGCATTTAATTTTATTTGACGATGAAAGGCCTCAAATCGCATAGAAGAAAAATGAATACATGGTCCATTTTCTAATAAAACTCTCGGGTAATGCAGCAGATTATGAAATTTTGGTTTCAGATTACCAAACAACATAATGGATGTCCTATTAAGATTTTCGATTAATAACTTGAGAACTTTTATATCCGACTTAATTATACGGGGAGATGTAACAATGTCAATAATTTCTCTTAGAAATTTATATAACTCCCAATATTTGTCATCTCAAGGAATTTTGTCACCAATTATTAATCCGAAATACCTTACAAGAGTAAGCATTTCTGAAGCTGACATTTTTAAAGTTGATTTGTTTTTTAAACGCGAAGGTGAAATAATCGGTGGCTTATTGGAATTGTCGGATAAATCGAAATTAAAATTCTGAATTCTAATATTTAAAAATTCTAGCGTGGAAATTTTGTTAACATACACATAAGTATGAATCAAGGAATGCATAATGTACAAGCAAACACCTTCGAAAATGTCATGCATTACGTCAACACTTAAATTTTGTAAGGGAGACCGGGGTCCCATGAGACACTTTTTGGAAATCGCTCGTAAAATCAAAAAAGGATAATAAATAAAATTAACTAAAGCATGATTAATTAATTTAGTTATTAAACTTTCAAATAATTCACGTTTCGTTTTAATATAATGATTTTTATCTATATGACGAGAGATTTTGTAAAACCTTGCAATGTATCATGGGACCCCGGTACCGGGGTCCCATGAGACGAACGTGGGGACCCATGAGACAATAAGTATAAATGTAATTCATAAAATATTAGACACTTGATTTTTTATATTTAAGTTCCTATTTGGTATACAATAAAGTAAAATCAAATTAAAAGTTTATTTAAATATTTTGAATGAAAATTGTTTACAAACCGTTTTACAAGTCTTAACATTAGATATTAAATAAGTATAATAATATTTTATCTCTTTTAAAATCTTCTTTTAAAATAACAAAAATATGTTTTCTGAGATCTTATACTGACTGAATAATTTACTTATATAATAATTTAAAAAGATCACAGCATTAGTTGTCCAAGAGATAATTTAAGCATAGATACAATAACTACTTACGCCATTTGAAGTTGACTAAAATCATAATCGAAAGAAATGAACTCTTTTTGACGAGTTGTGTAACTTGAAATTGTTTTCAATAAAATGGCTTTAATATCTTTAACATGAACTGCTTTTAAATCCGGAACACGAGGGAGAAGAAATTTGTTAATTTTATCACATTTGCAATAACAAGAAACTTCCAGTTCATTGTTTTATTTATATAAAATCTTATTAAGCTGCTATTAATCTTCTTATATGTGAGAACCTATGTAAGAACTCATACAAGATCTCGGATAAGATCCCATGTGTGTTCCTATTTATCGTGTTGTTCATATAGGAACCTACACAGGAAACCTCATGGGATCCTGTGTTATTGCTTTTACAGAGACATAAGATCATGCGCTTGCTCTCACGCAAGTTCATCCCAGGAACCTTTTCATACAGGATCTTATGTGTGAACCTGTATGGGAACCCACATAAGAACTCACAAGAGATCCTGGATGGGATCCCATATGTGTTCTCACATAGGAATTTTCAACAGGGTTACTCCCCTTTTCTTTAAGAATTTTGGTAACGCAATACTTCTTTTCCTTTCCTTGAAATTCAACTAACACAAATTCACCTTCGTCAGGTGAGTGCTGCAAGGGTTTAAAATATTTAGGATCACCGTTTTTGACCCCTTTATTTTTATGACCTTCTCTCATATCTGAGGCAAAATTCCTGAAATGTCCGAACAAAAAATTGAAAGTTCTCGAATTTAATCCATACTTTTCTAAAATGTTGTTATTGTTGGTAAAAGTCTAAAAATCAATTATTATTGAATTTAATAAAATAGTTTTTGAATTACAACGTTTTTAATTTTTGACTTTTGAAAAAAAATTTTTTTTCAATCTACAATATTTATAAGTAGAATGCATAAAAGTTTACATATATATAATGATTTTTAAAGCTTTTTTGACGAGCTACACGCTGTTATTAAATTTTTTTTTAAATAAAATTTGACCTTGAAATTCAAGGTCAACTATCTCAATGGAAAGCTTGACTAATTTCCTACAAAACATGTAATTTTCAGAGTGGGATCTTTTAAAGTTTTTGAGATATTAATTAATTAATTAATTAATGTTTATAACAAATGAAATATTTTACAAACGAATAAAGTTACCGTAATTCTGAAGTTAGTATTTAAAAGTTAAAGTAATTCCGCAGCCAACGAGCCCCACATGAAGTATTTTGGATAAGTAGATTGTTAATAAACAATTAGTTAACACTGCAATTGTTTATTAACAATCTACTTATCCAAAATACTTCATATAGGGCTCGTTGGATGCGGAATTAGCTTAACTTTCAATTGGTTAGTTTAGATTTACGATAACTTTATTTGTTTGTAAAATATTTCATTTGTTATAAACATTAATTAATTAATTAATTAATTAATTAATTAATATCTCAAAAATTTTTAAAGATCCCATTCTGAAAATTACATGTTTTGTAGGAAATTAGTCAAGCTTTCGATTGAGATAGTTAAAAATAATTTTTAAAAATCCGATTTTGAGATAAACGTAAATTAACAATTTGACCTTGAATTTCAAGGTCAAATGTTATTTAAAAAAAAAAATTTTATTAACAGCGTGTAGATCGTCAAAAAAGCTTTAAAAATCATTATATATGTTAACTTTTATGCATTCTACTTATAAATATTGTACATTGAAAAAAAATTTTTTTTTCAAAAGTCAAAAATTAAAAACGTTGTAATTCCAAAACTATTTTATTAAATTCAATAATAATTGATTTTTAGACTTTCACCAACAATAACAACATTTTAGAAAAGTATGGATTAAATTCGAGAACTTTTAATTTTTTGTTCGGACATTTCAGGAATTTTGCCTCATCTTCATCACTGTCCTCAATAATGTCCACTTCTGAAGTCTTCGATTTTATTTTCTTGCAAGTATTTTTGTTTCTGTCTCTTAGTTTTCTTTTCTTTCCCGTAAAGTTAATTTCGGCTTCTAAAAGATTTTGCAAATTTCTACGGACTTTTTCCTTTTTTTTTGCTTCCTTTTCTTCTTCTTTTTTGGTCTTTAAATTGTGTTTTTCTTGAATTTCATGTTTTTCAGCAGAATCAGTAGCCACTCAACATTTACCTTTCTCTCTGGGTTTCCTTGTAACTTCTTTTGGCTTTGCTTTAGGCAACGGTCTGATTTTCTTAGGTGTCACAACTATAGCTGAATGACTTACTGAGTGTTCAGGGCCATCAACTAGTTCTTCTGATCTTCGAAATCTTTGAGTCTCAACTTGCAAGTCAATAGCTTGTTGTTGATTTGGAGGAGGATTTCCTGTAACTTGGCTAGGAGCAAAATCTAAATCTGAAAATATATCCTTATTAAAAGGATAAATGCCAGTTGCTCTGAACGCTGAAAAAATATTTGAAGGAATGGCAGCCTTGCAGATGGCGTCATTAACTAGAGCTGCAATATC